GGAGGCTGAGAGGCAGAGGGAGGAGGGGCTGTGGGCGGGGCCTGGGCAGCAGGTGGGGGCGGGTGGGGCGAATTCCAGGGGGCTCTGAGCGGACTGGGCCGCTAGGGGGGGCAGTGCGGGGCTGGGTGGGAGGAGCGGTGTCCCCGCCTCGCCTGGATCCTCTGCTTCGAGGTGACCCGGGGACCGGGTGCTGGTGTTCGGGAGTCGCGGTGTCCGCCCGGGAGGGTGGCGCTGACCTGGTCACTGCTGCCCACAGCGCGTTTCATGGAGTCTGTTAAATATGAGTGTCACTTCTCCAACGGGACGGAGCGGGTGCGCTACGTGGAGAGACTCTTCTACAACCAGGAGGAGTTCGTGCGCTTCGACAGCGAGGTGGGCGAGTACCGCTCCGTGACCGAGCTGGGGCGGCCTGACGCCAAGTCCTGGAACAGCCAGAAGGAGACCCTGGAGGACAGGCGGGCCGCGGTGGACACGTACTGCAGACACAACTACGGGGTTGGTGAGAGCTTCACTGTGCAGAGGAGAGGTGAGTGTGGGGCCTGGGCTGCAGGGAGAGGGGCAGGGAGGAGAGAGACAGGAAAGGAGAGAGGGAGCAGGGAGAGAGCAAGAAAGGCGGGGAAAGAGAGCAGGGTGATACCGGGCACCAAGCCGGCAAACCACGGTATCCAAATAAGCAAAAATAATCCGAACAAGGGAAACGGTGTAAGTCCCTGTTTCTGCTGGATATGCAGAGTGCTGAGCTGTGTTCTCTAAAACGGAAATATGAATTCTAGAAACAACTGAGGTCAGGAGTAGGAAAAATGGATGGAGAGAAACACAGTTTCCTCCTCAGAGAGACAGAGGGAGACAGGGAGAAGTGAACCCACCCTGCTTTTCAAAGGTGTTTTACAGAGCAAAGCCCCGAGGTAAGGTGGGGACAAAGGGGGACAAACTGTAAGACCCAGGGGACAACTACAAGGTGGACAGGACGTGGGAGAAAACCGTGACCACCCAGTGAGATTACAAGTCTGCTCCCTGAGGTAATACTGATTAAATGGGGATCAAAATCCTAGCAGGCCTAGAAGGAATGAACAGCATCTTAGGTAAGGGATGGATCAGGGCCTTTCCTTCAGGAATGGGTTAAGGATTTGGTCTCCCACCATGGGACTGATACCTAATTAGAATTTCCATCCCTGTAGCCATCCCTAGGGAAATACCTGGGTGTAGCAGTTTGTCTCTTTTCATTATACTGGGCTCCAGTGAAAGTCTCTGTCATTTTTTTGTGCTGAGGGCCCAGCTTTCTTTCACTGCACTATAATAATTTCTAACTAGCTCTCTGACATAAGAATGAGAGAGAGAGAGAGAGACAAGGAGAAAGGAAAGGGGAGAGAAGGAGGTAGAGACACAACTGACAAAATGGAAGAGGACAGAGAGGTGGAGATGAGGCAGGGAGAGGTGGAGGAGAGGGCAGGAGAGGAGGGAAGGCAGGAGAGGGAGACGCTCTGTGTGTGTGCAGTGTTGTGAGCAAACAGAACTTATGATGGTCCCTGCAAGAACTTGTGGTCCGGGAGGAAGTGTGTGATTTTGCCAATGTGTGGCTGTATTTGTGAGTCTATGGAGGAGAAAGGCAGAGAGAGAGACAGAAGAGAACTGTGTGTCCTGTGCACTCCCAGGTGATGCTACACAGAGCTGGGCAGGGCTGTGAGCTGCAGGAGGGGCTGAAGGGTGGGGGAGGAAGGGTCCCTGGAGAGGGGAGGGAGAGGGAGGCTATATG